CTGTTCTTTGATCCAAGGAAGAACATACTTACTTAAAATCCCGATGTAGACCTCCGTGTTGACCTTGTCGCCTTCTGGAATGAACACCGGGTCCATTTTTTGCCATCTTAAGCCACCAATCCAAACAGCATAACGCTAGCAGGATGCTTGGTCTGATACATGTTCTTGTGCTCGTCGGCCACGTCTTTTACCGGAAGAGAACTAATATACCGGTCGGTTCTGGAATTTGATACGGGATCGACGGTAAACATGCTCTCGTCGGTGAACAGGATTACCGGATTTTTTCGCTTAAGGAAGTTCAAGATTTTCTTGCATCGTTCGACTCATAGCTTCCGGATGCGGTTGGTAATCATGTGAGTTTTTTTTCCGTGCTCTCGACTTCGCCCCGCAATCTTCCTTTACGATCTTCCGTGCCGTAAAGTCACTGATCCCGTGGTCCTTTGCCATTTTCCTTATTGAACGCACTAGATACACCCGAATCTTCCTTTTGATAGCAGCGATAGCCGCTAACCTTTGCGGACAGTTCTCCTTTCTTTTCTCGGTCTAAAACCCTTTTGACGGTCCACCGGGACACTCCCACGGCGATTGAAATGTCTTTTTGTGACATTTGCGCGTGGGACGAATCACGAATACGCTGCCACCAGCTAGCTGGCATCCCTATCTTGTTTGCCTTGCCTTGAAAAGAGCTAACATCGCTGCGGACCCGCGAATTGCGGGCCCCACTGACTGCTAATAATTTGTAAACAAATAGAAGATTCAAGCCAGAATTTCAAAAAAGGCGTGACTGATATTATGGATATTCTTAATATTTTTGCTTACATTTTGTGAAAAATAAACTTAGGACTCATAAAATATTATTTTCTGATTTTCTTCCACGAAGTCAACCATTTATATGGCATAAAAGGGAAAATAATTTCATTTGATAAAAATAAGACAATTCAGTCACGCCATTTTTGCAGTTCACACTGGAATTGTGACGTTTCAGATGTTGGTTTCAATAACATGGCGGCATGCCAGCCAGCTGGCTGCCACTTCGTCATGGTGCAACTGTCAAACTAAGTTAATCATTTTGTTTTATACACACATGGCGAATGAGAACGAGTCAAATTTGAGTTTAGTTCTCTTATAATCGCCAAAAGTGCAGGAACTCAGCAATGAGTAAATTTGTCCCATGTTTTCCTGTGGAAAACCTAAAAAATCTGCCGGAAAATGAGGAAATTGACGAAAATTTTATTCAGTCTCGGAGTAGTACCAATAGACTGAAGGAATGCAATCTTTACTTTTCTCAAATTCAGGAATTTTTCCCTGGAAAATCCTTGGAAAAACATGGGAAAACATGAGGCAAATTTACTCATCGCTGAGTTCCTGCACTTTATGTGATTTATGAGTTGACTAAACTCAAATTTGGGTCGTTCTCATTTGCCGTGCAGCCTACTACGGTATGAGCTATACACGGAGATAAAAAACTACCCAAAATTAAGTACTTTTCCCTCAATTCTGTGGTTCAGACCAATAAACCAAATTAAAGTAAATCGCATATATAGTAGTTTCCATGCAACACCAGCAAAAAAATTACTTACTCTTAAGAATGTTCTACCCAAAATTAAGTTTAATTCATGAAAATTTGAGAAGATGCAGTTTACACAAAAGTAACTTATTGGGCTGAACTAGGGGAATTTACGTATTCTCGTCAGTCTAAGCAGCGTCCGAACTTCTATTAGCGATTTCTCAGCGTCACACACATACATGACAGGTTTGTTTGTTGACATTTATCTGCTGCTTGCTGTTCTACCAATTCCAATCGACAGAATTGATCAAAACGGGTTGAACATGTTTTTACAACGCTCCAAACTTCTCAGGTGAGTGTGACTATTGTCGGCAGTCTCTTTTTCTTCGGCACCCTTTCCATTTGAACTGCATGTTAACCAGCTGTTCTATTATCGGCAACTCGAAATCAGCCGTATTTTGTAGTGTGTATATTTAATTTAAAGAAAAATATGGCATAACAGGATTGCACAGTCGTAAAAATGTAATCAGATTGATGCTGAAAAGGTAAGGAATCGGCTTAATACATTCAGCGAGGAGGGGGACGACTCTATCTACGATGCAGGAAATATTGTGTTTTGATGTGGCTAGCTGCGCGTACGCTGAGTAGATAGAAAGAAGATTTATCACGATTTTGAAGATTTCCTGCAAAAAGATGATGCGCGATGCAAGTAGATGCGAGAAATGTAAGAAGATTTTTCGAAGATTTATTCGCTAGTGTGAGATTTTTTGAGCATCTAGAATTGAGATTTAGATGTGTCGCCCCCCTCGTTCAGCGAAGAGTTTTGATGGGAAAATACAGTGAAATTAACGTTTCAATTTCGGTTGCCGAAAACAGTCAATGGGTGCCGAAGCCATAATTTACCCTATATCGTTGGGTCGAATCCCTAGTTCCTTTTTTGACAACAATAAAGAGTGCAAGTGAGAGGCTGAACTCAATATTAAGTAAAAAGAACTCAAATTTTGAGTAGTATTTTTTCTCTGTGTAGGTTACGTGCATGCAAAGAAAACCAAGTCATTGTATGCACAGGTGAAACAAGAACCTTATTTGTACGATGGTGCAAACATTATCACGCATACGGTGTGTCGCAACCTCTTCTTATCTAGCTAATGCAGGCCAGTGACAAGACCTACACACTTAAAAATAACTATTTTTATACGAGACGTAATCCATCTTTGACGTAAATTATGGAACGTAAACAAACATGTCTTGTAAAATTAAGTGTTCCCAAAACGAAACATACGTAACTCGACGAAAAGTACGATTGATTGAATCTATTTTCTCGTTTCTTTCAACTGATTCTTATGTCATTTGGGCCACTTGCATGTGTCGGTCTCAGGGCACGGAAATTTACATGACTTTTTGGTAGTGTGTACACTAACAGCAGCGTTTGACAGTAGGCAGCATGTCCCGGGCTCAAATCATTTATTTTGCTGTGCTGGGCCCGCTGTCACTGTAGAACATATTGCCTACGCGCCTGCCAGTGGGCTGAGCTAATGCCATTCGATGGTGGGACTAGGAGTATACTACAGCTGTCAACCCCCCTACATTTAGGCTGCGGTCCATTTGGTGAACTTTAACTTTTATTTGACACATGGAAAATTTTCAAATTAACCTGCTATTTACCAGACTAATTTCAGACAAACCAGGAATCAATTTTGACAAGCAATTTCTCGAAAATCGGACGTTCAACAGAAGAGAAATGTTTGAACATTACAATTTATTTCGAAGTGTCAGTGAAAATTTATCAAGTGGTTGTGACTTAGCCTGTGTTCCATTTTTCTGAATTTTTACCTAAAATTGACATTTCGAAAATAAATAATAATTTTCGAAAATCTCTGCATGGTTGATCATGTGATTTTCGAGGTGTTTATCAAAATTGATGGTCTGGCAGAAATAAGTCTGATACAATAGCAGGTTTATTTGAAAATTTTCTATCTGTCAAATTTAAGTTAAAATTTTCCAAATGGAACATCCAACATGTGTTCGATTTTGACGTTCTGGTTCTATGGGATTTATATTGATATTATTTGTTTAGGCCGCTGCCAAATCGAATGTAAGGAATAATATCATTTATAGGAATTCTATTGTATAGAATGCTAAGCACGCCTATTCGCCCCCACTATGACAGTGGCCTGGTAGTCATATGCTGAATCAATGGTAAAATTAACAGGTTGCTTAGTTGTTCCATGTGACATGCATCCTGATTTTTGTACATGGTAAAAGTTGGGATGGTTTTAAAGCGGTAAAGCTAGACTAGATCATTTACAGGTATCAAAAATTAATTATGAAACCTAGTTTGATGCTTTTTTTCAGAAGTATAACGAGAAGATGAATTGGATTGGTAACGACTATAAGTTATGCAAATCATGAATTTTGTGATAGCGTACGTATTATTAAAACGTTTGATAACAACTCATTGTCCTCCTTTGATGTTAAGAAAAGGAATCATTGTCCTTCTTAATCTCAAAACCTCAAATGAAATGTCTTCCTTACATAAGTGCTAACTTATTAAAAGCTTTTTAAACATCAAGGATCATATTTTTATCTTCGTTTAGATCATATTGAACAGATCCAACAGCTCAACATGACTTTGATTGTTTTGCTTAGATTGTTTTGCTTAGATTGTTTTGACAATTTTGGTTTGGATAATCAAATAGGTACTGGTGAATATCAACAAACGCGTATTCATTGATGCGTAATGAAGTCATTTGTTCATTTCGCTCATACGTAACTGCGAAGATTTTCAAAACAAACGCAATTCTTCTACACTAGGCTGAAGCGCTACTTCTTGCTTATAATGGTAAATGTTAAAAACAGGCACTGATCCGGATACTATCCGGAAAGAAAAATAATGGATAATATCCAAGATAAAATTACCCGGATAATTTTAACTGGGGTTTATCCGGAAAGAAATTGTATAGGGATTGACTCCGTTTATTTCTATCAACTGGATAGGTCTTTCCGGATAATTATGTGATCCATGTCCGGATAATTTAGAAGCCTAATTACAACGCGATAATTTTTCTGAATCATTTTCGTTCAAATGTTGCCACACCTCCGCACTCGGGAACCTTCGCCAACGGCTCGAATCAGTCTACATTCTGGCGCTTATTGCTATCGTCGGTGAAATATTTCACCACTTACCTGCACATGCACTGTCGCTCCATTGAGGCGTAACGACCCTTCATTAGAAGTTCAGTCTGGAGAAACTTTCTCCTCACAAAACTAAATCAAATCCATTTATTACTGACTGACAAAGTTTGCTCTAATTATTACATCCTTCGCTGTCCCCCCCCCCCACGCCCCACCATCCTTTGCCACTAGCGATTCACATTCAAGTACATATAGAATAAATTTGAAAAATTTTCTTCCATTACTTCTACCGAGCTCGAAGGAGTGCAATTTCAAAAGTTTTCCCTTTTCTTTGTTCTTCTCCTCGCTGCGCTCACAGAAAACTATGGATTGATTCAACGGTACGCCTCCGGCTACGACTGCAACCAGGAAAAGTGCCAGTACGAAAATCTGCACGAGCACTTCCACTGCTACGACACGTTCTGCCGGGGGAAGGTCCTGTACAAAAAGTACGAAATCATTCGCCATCTCAAGTGGCACAAAAAGCGGAAGGAATCGCTCAAGTATGGCTTCTACCGGTTCTCGTCGTCCGACGACTGCAGCATCCAGTACGGGCAGTGTCAGCACAACCACAAGCACACGCACTACCACTGCGTGCACGAGAACTGTGATAAGGTTTATATCAGCACCAGCGACGTGCAGATGCATGCCAACTACCACCGGAAGCACGAGGCGATCGTCAAGAATGGGTGAGTGTTTTGCCGGGTGGGTGTTGAGGGGCAACAGTTTGATCGCCAATTTGTGGCCATCGTTTTAGGTTTCAACGGTTTCGCGCTACGGAAGAGTGTAATACGGATCATTGTGCGTTCAAAGGACAGAAGACGACACACTTTCACTGTCGGAGGGAGAACTGCAAATACACCTTCAAGAACAAGGCGGATATGGGTAAGTCCTGAGATGCTCTGAAAAATTATCGGTCTAAACGAAGTTGAAGTCTTATCTTTGTTATTTGCCTTCGGATTAAATTCAATACGTACTTTTCGACGCACTAGATCATATTGAAAACGAAATTTGATGTTGTGATGTCGCTGATAGGAAAGGTTAATTAATTATGTCACGCAAATTTGGCCCATCGGCGCAATCGAATCTTATCTAATCTATCACCAACACAGCCAGTTCTTAAAAGCATCATAGAAAATGAGGGATTTACCTCTATCATTTGTCTTGTCTCTTTGATTTCACATCGAAGATGCGTCTCACATACCAACCAAAACGGCTAGACCTACTGTGCAACATTTAAGGGGCAAGATGATTCAGAAATCATCGGGCCTGTTTAAATCAAAGCATGAGCATGAGCACTAGCTCTTATCATAGCCTTTTGTGCCTTATGGCTATAGAGCCATTACTCGATTTCTGAAAAGATAAGAGGAAAAGGAAACTAAAGGGAGAAGGACAAAGAGAAAATGATTATATGAACTCTATGAACATAAATAATACTTGTGCTTTGAATTATACAATGTAAAAATTCATAACGGAGCTGGTCACTACCCGAGTCTTGTCACGATTAACAAGGCATATAAAGTAATAAGGACTAAAATATGTTCCTTCGATTACTGAAAAATCCTGTTCCCCTAGTTTGAAGTTGTCAAGACTAGGGTTCAATGGTAGATCTTTTACCAGTAACCAGTGATGTGAAAATATCAAAAGATCTAAACTCACCAATGTGCATAATCTCATTTGAGTATCGTAAACCAAAAACTCAACACGCAAACAACAGCCAATGATATTACAAGCTGTGATACGGTTGCTATGATATCATGCTAACAAAACTCCCCGGCTACAATTCTAACCAAACTGTGTTGAGTTTGAGCTTCAAGATTTTTGCTGACATCCGAACACGAAACGAAACTTTCATCACTGCTAGCAGCAGTAACTTCGTGTCTGCCATCTGTGAAGCGTAAAGAAGGACAGCAAACTATGCTTTCTCTTTCTAAGAAAACGATGTGCAAAGGAATCATTTTTGTGGTCAACTCGTCAACTCGTGGCTGCAATTTTACATGCTCTGAATAGTCTCGCAATATCAAAGGAGCTTGTAAAAACAATATCATGCTTGATATTTTATTCCAATATCATGCGTGATATTGGGATCCCTTGAGAGCGAAACAAAATCATTTGAGTGAGGATTATGCCATCACTGCCAGTAACACACCACGAAAAGGTCTACTCTATATTTTGATAGTTATTAACATCTTATTGCTTATTGCATATTACTGATGTGTTTGTTAAATTGCTATCATTTTTAGCTACACACTTAGAAAAAATCATGTAAATTTAGGTGCTCTGAGGCTGACATATACGAGCGTCAATTTTGACATAAATTTGAGTCATAATAGACGCGAAATACAGCTCAATCAAATGTTATTTTCGTCGAACAACGAACTTATCAGTCTCGCAGCACTTAATTTTACACGACATGTTTGTTTACGTCTCATCTTTTATGTCAAAGACGGATTCCGTCACGTGTAAAATTAGTTATTTTGTAGTGTGTAGTTAGTCAACGATTATCTAGTCTTAATTGATCCAATAAAATAAACTAAAATGTCCTACTATATTTCAAACCAATTTTCTTCTCCCTTTCAGAGAAACACAAAACCTACCACCTCAAGGACGAGATGCTTCTCCGTGACGGGTACAAAAAGTTCCTCAAAACCGAAGACTGCTCGTACAAAAATTGTCGCTTCTCGCGGGTCTGCAACCACATCCACTGCATGCACGAAAATTGCCACTACGTGCTGCACTCCAGCGGTCAACTGTTAAGTCACAAGCGCAAGCACGAACGAATGGACACCGAGGTGGACTATCGAAAGTTCCAGATGGCCAAGAATCTGCTGAGCAAGTTTGGCATGAGCCGTTCGGAGGAGAATGCTGCGACCTCTACCAAGGAAGAGGATGAGATTCCCATCTCTCCGACTGCCACCTCGGAGCAAGTGCCACGCAATCCGGTTCTGGAACTGTTGGCAATCATGTCGGAACTCACATTCCGAACCATGCCTCTGCAGATGATGCTTCACATGCGAATGCAGATGCTTCAGAATATGGGCTTCGATCAGGTGTTGGCTGCGGACAATTTGGAAAGCTTGAAGAAGCTCTCGGAAAGTGGACTGAATGATGAGTACGTGAAACAGTTGTATAAGTTCAATGAAAATATCTGCCAGTTGAACGAACGCGCCATGCTGGATGTGACTCCGACACTGACCGAGTTGGCACGGAGTCAGGGAAGTCCAGTTCCAATGAGTTTTGCGAACATCGGTGATCAATTCAACCCACTGAAACGAAAGTTAGAGGACGAAGCAGTCGCTGGTCCTTCTACGCTTGTTCAGGATTCGTCTTTCTTCAACCCATCTCTGAACAAGTCGAAGCTGTTGTCCAACCCGTCGATTGATTATCGACTACTGAGAAAGGACGACTCTGAGTTAAGTGACCCACCGGCGGATGCCAGCAGTGCAGATCGACAAAAACCCCTATTGCAAACTGCAAATTTTCTGCAATTCAGCTCGAGTAAAACTTTGTTCAACAGGAAGCGGGGTCGACCTCGGAAAAACCACGTCATGGAAGTTTACAATAACGTAAGTAGAATCGAAATCATTTCACATTTGAATCAACTCCAACTTTCGGACTATGTAAACATCTGCAAAATGTTCTAACCACTTTCCCATTCTTCAGGAGAGAAGACCTATCCTTTCTCTTAACTAACAAACACCCACACAAACTACCGCGTGGCGTGTGTCTGCATGATCTCTCTCTCCATCACATTGATCACATCTACAAAAGAATCGTTGAGCGATCGTACCCTGCTAAGAGCCACCTTCTTCCACCTGGCCCGAATCAGGCTCAGGATTCTCCACAGGCCATATTTACCAGTTTCAAGCTGGAAAAGAACGACTCCAACAAGGCGACACCAAATCAGGACTTCCATCATCGAGACGGGCCGCTAGCGTTGGAGTCGGAATCAAGGTTCAAGAAAGACCTGCTCAATAGAAGCGATGAGGATGACACTGCACGGAGGCTTCGCAGCCTCAGTCCTTCGAAAATGTTCCTTCCAATGGAGCCACCGCCGTCGTCGTCCATGCCTTTGTTTGCAACTCCGGATTTTGGTGGATTCTCTCAGATTCTGGAGAAACACATGCGCGAGATCAAGGCGGAACCGAGCGCGACCGTAACCCACGAAATGGATCTCTCCTATAAAGAAAAGGTAAGGCGGCGTCTTTGCCTGATCGTCCAAACGACATTTACGAAAAGTGCTTAACCCTTTCCAGTCCCGCAACCACCTGAAGTGCGTCGTCTGTAACAATTCGTTCGAAACGTTTGCCGACATCAAGGAGCACGAGTGCCACCAGGCGAAGGAATCGGAAAAGCCTCTGCTGGCGTTTCCTCCCGGATTGACGATGCACCAGCCGGCGACCTTTCGCAGTTCCTACCCACCGGATGCGGACTCGACGAGTCGGCTGATCTATGCTCCCACTCCCATAGGTTTACCCGCCGCACCGGCCGGGGCGGCTAAGGAATCGATTTCGCTGGTCAAAACCACCGGGACGTTCTTTCCGGATGTGAATGCGAATAAGTTGAAGTATTTTTGAAATCGTGTGTACAGTTAGATGTTCATGGATGTTGAATGGTGTTTTCTAGGTTATTGATATAGAACATTAGATCATAGAGGCTCAACACGTAGAACGGTACGTAAACAGTGAATTCAACATACTGTGTCATAGAAGAAAAAAAAACTCTGAAGATACGTCAATGCCATATTTGTTTGGCCATAAGAGATACTCTGAAAGAAAGGAGGAAGTTTTACATAAAGATTTTTATTTTAAGAAACGTATTAGTATTAGATCAAATGTATTACATATTCAAAGATGAGAGTCAAATGGTACTATGAAGTTATAAGGTTACGTAATATTTACTGTGGATTGAAGCCTTCAAAAATACAGTAATAGAAGAATATATTTGTACATAGTTGAATTAATTCTAATATAAATGATTTGTTAATGCACTTCCAACAATGTTTATTAAATGAGAGAATGCTCCAGAATGTAGTCATAATTTTTCGGGAAAATACCTAGCTCACGTGAGTCATATCGCTCATCGTTATCAATGCTGGACTGCGTGGCAATGAAGGCCTTGAAGCTTGAGCTTGCGCGCTCAACTCAATGTAAGTACCTACTTTCCTCGAAGTGCTTATCTGCACTTCATCGTTTGTATGTATTCAGCTGTTCTGTATCTACCCTACCTATAGCCGCTTTCTTCCATTACCTCAACGCATTTAGTAAGAATTTTTACGGCCTCATAAACTCACTGGCTATCAGATGCAAGCTAACCGATATTTTGTTTACATCAATGCTGGGAAATCGCACCGCACGCTTCTGTTCGAAATTTACTTAGTACGCTCGTTGATAATCCCCGACGAAAGTTTTGAGAAAAAAAAAGAAGAAGGGAATGCAAGGACATTGTTGCTCAGGATTCACAGAACCAACCCGTTTTTGGTTAGCAAATATTGTATTACAAAATGTTGTGCAGTAGATCAGAAATAACACTTCGAAATTAATACTCATCATGACGTAAAAAATTTCAACCCTCCACTTGGAAATTCCCGAAATACCCCGACATAAACAAAAATACGGGTACACGACGTTAGGCATAATGGACGTTAGGCATAATCTACCCGATGCATTCCAAAAGCATGATAATGGGGGTCGTCTATTGATTGCTGACATCGGTGACAATAATAAAAGGGCCTTAATTTTTGGGACTCATAAAAATTTGCGACGTCTTGGACAGGTAAAGTATTGGGTTGCAGATGGTACGTTTGCCACAGTTCCTTGTTTGTTTCGGCAACTCGTCACTGTTCATCGCTCCCTCACATCAGCAGACGTTTCCGCTAGTTGTCATTCTGATGACAACAAAAACAGAATTGTTGTATTGAAAAGTATGGCAGGAAATCCTGGAAGCAGCAGGTATGTTTTTTGATATTGAATGAAAAACCACAGAATTCACCATTCTTCATTTCATGCGCTGTTCTTTGGCATCATCTTTTAATCAACCTTAGCTGGTTTTTTGATATTGAATAAAAAATCACAGAATTCACCATTCTTTATCTCATAAGCTGTTCTTTGAGGAAAACCTTTTCTTCTTTTTTTCAAATTTATTTATTTATTTGTACAGGCTCAATCGAATAAACATTACAGAGCCAAGTTATCATTTGCGTTATACATAATTGATGTCTTAAATCTAGATTTAAAGGATTTGAACCGATTACTCGCGGTCATCTCGAGGTTAGTGGAGATTTACAGTTTTATGGATGGGGAGAGGGAGGAGGAGGATTGAGTTATGATTTACGATACAAGTATTTCATTATTCCTAAAACATGAACTTATTCCTATTCAATTTGGTATCCACAGTGTAATTATACATTTATTACAGAAACAAACATTAAAAAAACCCAAACACGAACAAAACAAAAACTAAACACAAGGTTAGTCAAACTTACAATCTAAGGTTAATATTCTTAAAGAAAACATATATAAGTTTCATAAACTCCAGATCGCGTCTACCCAAAATATCGCGAACTGGAACATTAGGTTGTCTAACTCGAGCCCAAAGGGAATCGTACAGTTCAGATCTGACTCCGCGATGCTCAGCACAAGACCAAATAATGTGATCTGCGTCCTGGTAACCTTGTCCACATTCACAGAGATTACTGTCCCCCAGCTCAACACGGAACAAGTGAGCGTTTAACGAGTAGTGATTGGACATGAGGCGAGACATCATACGAATGAAGTCTCGACCCACATCCAACCCCTTAAACCAAGGACTCTTCGACACCTTAGGGATGATCGAATATAGCCATCGTCCCAAACTTCCTTCGCTCCATTTATTCTGCCAGCTGACGAGTGACTGTTGACGATAAATGAAGAAAAATTCATTGTAGGCGATTTTTCGATCGTAAATATCGCCTTCCATAGCGCCCACATTATTTAGTGAGTCCGCCATCTCATTGCCCGGAATCGAGCAATGAGATGGGACCCATGCAAAGGTGATGACAAATGATCTTAAAGATAAAGCACTAAGAAACTCTCGTATTTTCATGAGAAAATACGAGGAGTGCTTTACCGGCCTCATAGAGCGAATAGCCTCGACAGAACTGAGACTATCCGTAAAAATAAAATAGTGATCTGGTGGAAGTGAGGCGATCGTTTCTAGTGTATAGTATATAGCCGCCAGCTCAGCAACATATACGGAACAGGGAGCTTGAAGCATTCGAGAGGCGCTATGAAATTTGTTATAAATACCAAAACCTGCGGACGCCTCTATCTTGCGGAATCAACTTGGCCAAACTTTGCAGCATAAATTGACGGAACAATCATGGAACGATGATGTTCTGGGATCCCACGAATCTCTCGCGTCATAGATAAATCAAAACTAACTGAATTGCCGAAGTCGGAGAAGCATACACGATGAGGATTATGTTGTGAACGGCTGACATCCAGTGTTATGTACACGTAGTACAATGACATAAAACGAGTTTGAGGGTTCAGCTCAAGAAGCTTCTCAAAGTTTTTGATTACCAGTGGGTTCATAACTTCGCATTGGGTGAGGAGCCTGAGGGACATTTCCGAAAACCGATCCGATAGTGGCAACATGCCCGCCAACACTTCTAGACTCATCGTATGAGTCGAGTGCATGCATCCTAACGCGATACGAAGACAACGATACTGGATACGTTCCAGTTTGATGATGTGAGTTTTAGCCGCCGACTGGAAACAAAAACTACCGTATTCTAAAACCGATAAAATTGTTGTCCGGTACAACGTTAGAAGATCTTGTGGATGAGCTCCCCACCACGTTCCGGTAATTGTTCGGAGAAAATTGATCCTTTGTTGGCATTTTCGTCTCAGATACTCAATGTGGGATCTCCAGGTGCATTTGGAATCGAACCAGACCCCAAGATATTTGAAGGACATAGAATGAGTGATCGGTTTACCCAAAAGTTGAAGCTTTGGTTGTGCTGGGCTATGCTTCCTAGAAAAAACGACCAACTCAGTTTTCTCCGTGGAGAATTCGATACCTAGCTGAATAGCCCAAGTAGACAAATGGTCTAAGGTATCCTGTAAGGGTCCTTGCAGGTCGGCCTTTCTGGGCCCTGTCATAGACACTACTCCGTCATCTGCAAGTTGTCTCAGCGTGCAGTTGTCACTTAGACAATTGTCAATTTCTCTGACGTAGAAATTATACAGAAGGAGACTCATGTAACTAAATCGAGAAGCTGTAGAGTTTCCATGAGAAAAGCTCATATGTTTCTCTGACAGCAAATTGTACAAAAAGTTATTTATTAATGGAGAAAGGCCACAAGCGTGGAGTTTGTCTGAAAGGACTTCAACCGATACTGAATCAAAAGCCCCCTTGATATCCAAGAATACAGAAGCCATTTGCTCTTTTTTAGCAAAAGCCAACTGAATTTCTGTGGAAAGCAACGCGAGACAGTCGTTCGTTCCCTTGCCCCTACGGAAACCAAATTGAGTATCTGAGAGTAGGTGGTTCAACTCAACCCATTTGTCCAGGCGAAAAAGGATCATTTTCTCCAACAATTTTCGAATACACGATAACATCGCAATGGGACGATACGAATTGTGATCTGACGCGGGTTTTCCAGGCTTTTTAATGGCTATAACTCTCACCCGCCTCGAATCATCCGGAACAATATTAAGCTCCAGGAACTGACCAAACAAGTTCAACATGCGCCTCTTAGCGACGTCTGGGAGGTTCTTCAACAAGTTGAACTTGATTCTGTCAGCCCCCGGAGCCGAATTGCCACACCAAAGGAGCGCGAGTGAGAGCTCCAGCATTGAAAAAGGCTGGCTGATCTCGTCTACCGAATTCGTCGTTTCGCGAGGAATCATCTGTGCCGGCACGGAATCAGGACATACTTTTCGCGCGAACTTGAGAATCTAACGATCTGAGTACTCCTCGCTCTCGTTGTTCGAAGACCGGTTACGCATCCTTCGCGCCGCGTTCCAAAGCGTATTCATCGATGTTTCACGCGATAATTCGTCCACGAATTGCCGCCAGTATTCGCGTTTCTTGGCTTTGATGAGGCTCTTGAGTTCGCGTTCAAGAGCCGAGTACGCTTCGAAATACACGGGTGTTCCACGTTTCCGGAAAAGCTTAAACGCGTCGGACTTTTTACGATAAACCTCAGTGCATTGGTGGTCCCACCAAGGGGAAGGAGGTTTCCTACGCAAAGACGTTCCAGGAACCGGCCGAGTTTGAGCTCGAAGCGCGCTGTCCAAGATCAGATTGGAGAGGAAGTTATATTCCTCCAACGGTGGAAGCCCTTCTACCGACGACACGGCTTCCTCTATCGCGGTCTTGAACGTTGTCCAATCGATATTACGGGTGAGGTCGTACGCGACGTTAACGGATTTCGACGGATTGGACCCACTGGCAATCGAAATTTTGATCGGCAAGTGATCACTACCGTGGGGATCCTGGATCACATTCCACGTGCAATCCAACGATAATGAGTTAGAGCAAAGTGTGAGGTCTAATTTACTTCCATTCGAAGATGGTCCAGCCAAACGTGTTACTTCTCCATTGTTAAGAATTGCCATATTGAAGTTATCACAGAGGTCATATATAAAAGTAGAACGGTTGTCATCATACAGTTCCCCCCAGCCTGTACCGTGGGAATTAAAATCTCCCATAATCAACCGTGGAGCAGGAAGTACTGAACATATATCTGAAAGTTGTTTTCGATTAACAACGGCTCTAGGAGGAATATACACAGAAGCAATACAAAGTCTCTTACCTTTAATAATAGCCTGACATGTGACAACTTCAATACCTGTAAATTGTGGAAGATTCACTCTATAGAAGGAATGGCACTTTTTGATCCCCAAAAGTACCCCTCCTCCACGCGAATCTTCACGATCCAGTCGAAT